CCGGCCTCTGCTGCCCCCGGTGCCGGCCAAGCCCCCGTCCTGTCCCTTCCCGCCGCGGGCCGGGCCGGGCTCGAGCGCGCTCGTGTCTTGCAGGATCGCGGAGTTCCGGGACGTGCTGGGCGAGGCCGAGGTGGCTCTGCCGAAGCTCCGCGCGCTCTGCTTCAGCGGTAAGGGACTTGCCACTCGGGGGGACCCCGGGGGTGCGGCGCCCTTGCCAAAAGAGACCGGGCGTCGCTGAGTGCCGGGGCCTAGAGCAGCCCCCAAGCCTGGCAGCTGCGGTGAGCATGAAGGCCTGTGCTTCGGGCCCCTCCGCGGTGGAAACCGGGGTGTCGCCGTGTGGCGAGCGGTCCTGGGTGGCGGTTCTTGCCCTTTGGCGCTTGCTTTCCTTGCGGAGCGACCGCGCTCTTTCCAGGGGGCAAAAGGAATTTGAAGCGTTCGGCTCGAGGTGTCGCGCTCTGCTCTAGAGGCCTCGCTAATGTTCAACAGCTAACGCTGGTCTCTCCCTTGCCAGCTCTGTGGATGTTTAATGAAGCAGAGCGATTATTAATGGATGTAGTTGAAAGAGACGTTCGCTGTTTTGGAGGCTTTGGAGACTTATTATCTCTCGGTGCTGTCTGAAGCTTTCGTGTGCTGACAAGATCTTTCTCTCCCGTTTGCCACAAAATGGCTACTAATGTCTTCACTTGCGAGACCCCCGTTTGTGTCTCGCCGGGAGGAGTCTTCCATCCCCCGGGAGAGCTTGTCATTTTCCTTGTGCTTCGTTCAGGCTCCTGTTCCTGTGGGAGTGGAGTGTGCCGATGACTCTTACTTTCCTAGATTAACTCTTTTGGGGAACCTGGAGCTTCTGAATGTCTCTAAAGCTTCTTGCCTGCTAGGAACACGCTGCTCTGCTGTTCACTTGGTTGCATCAGCATAATGCAGTGGAAGGGCTGGGGCTTACTGAAGTGACTCTTTGCCCGATGTTTCACAGGGATTCCTTTTGACGGTGGGCTGCGCTGCCTCTGCTGGAAGGTGGGTTTTTGCTTGGGGCTTTTCTCTTCTGTGAGTAACCCTCTAGATTGTTTTAGTCTGGCAATGTATTGTGCACTGGAAACCAGAACCTTTTGATGACTCTGACTGGCTTATCACCACCTCGGGAGTTGCTGTGAATCTAGAGCCCTTTCTGATTTTTGGAGTAGTCAGAAAAAGGGACTGGAAATACCAATAACACTTCTCCCCACACAAACGTATCTGTCTGGTGCAAGCCTGGTATTAAGCCAGGAGCTCAGCCCAACTAGAGTTTTGCTGCTTGTGTGGAAGGAATTCTGCACACCTTTGCACAGAGTGATGGTAAAACATGACCCTTGCTCCTCCCCACTCCCCCAACTGCAATAACCAGTGGGTGTTCAAGAAACTCCAGTCTTCCTCAAGGAGCCAGTTCAGATTCCAACAATCTTCCCCATTAAGTTAGCAGTCTTGATGGTTTGTTAACGGTGTCTGATCCAAGGAGTAATGTGTGCTTGGTTCTTCTATTCAGATCCTTTTGAACTACCTCCCAGTGGACAAAGAAGTATGGAGTTCTCTGCTGAAGAAGCAGAGGTGAGGGCATCTGTACTTTTTGTCCTTATGTTACAAGAGTTCCTAATGTTTGGGGGTGGAAGGGGGAGCAGGTATACAGTACTTTTCTAAATAGTGGTGTAAACTTGCATGCCTTTGCCTGGAAGAATGTGTTTTCTTGCCCCTGTTGTTCTGGAGAGAGAGAAGCTGGCTGAATGCCTCCTGGAAGCGGAAGGTCAGCTGTTCCCTGGCTGAGCAGGATGGCTCTGAGACCTCTGTCCGAGTTTAGCTGGATGTTTGTTTTTTTTTTCATTGTCTCTTCCTTCCTAATATACATTCCTCCTCTCTCTTGTTAAGGGAACTGTATTCCCAGTTCCTAAAGGAAATGATTATCCAGCCTGGGATAGCCAAAGCCAACCTTGGTGTCTCCAGGGAGGATGTAACCTTAGAGGACCATGTAAGTTCATGTCTTGGGAATTCTTCTTGCAGGTTTTGTACTGCGATCCTGGCGTGATCTATACGGTTACTGCTGCTGGTTTACAGAACAATAGTTTCAGCCCCATATCATAGGATGTGATGTCCCAAAGGAGGTATCTGTCACCTATGGCCGTGTCCACATGAGTGTAAATTTTTGTTTCCCCAGAGACAAGAAGCAGTGGCACACCTTGTGCTGCTGCTCCTTGTCCCCAGGGAAAGCCTATGTCATGCACCGTCTGGTGCATGGTTGGTTACAACGGGTGGGGTAGGGGAGGCTGAGGCCAGCACTAGGCTGGTCCTGGAGGCCTCCTGGGGATGCAGCAGAACCTGGCTGGCAGCTGGAGTATGACTGCAGCTGGCCAGGTTCTGGTTTTTAGGTGGCATGCGCTGCATAATAATAATAATAATAATAATAATACCACCCCCACCACCCCCCTGTGCTGCTACCTTGCAGTATAGAGAACAGCTGAATGTGGTACTACAGACATGTCTGCGGTGTCACATACCGCACAGCTGTGCTTGTCTGGATGCAGCTGTGACTCCATAGGCTGCAGATTCAAAATTGTAAAGCCACTGTCCCAAGTCTCCTTTCCTTTCTCCCTTACTCTATTTTGCCTGCTTATCAGTGCAACAGACTTCAAATAGGAGTAAAGAGTCAGAGGAAGGGGACAAGGAAAGCTTCTAGCACAGTGAAACTTTCCAGTTAGCCTTTTTGTGCTTCTATCCTGGATTGCAGTTTTGTAGATCCACCTGAAACTAGGATATTGTTCTAGCCACCAGACTCTGCTGCTTCCATGGGTTTTAAAAGCGGCAAGCTTCACTCTTGGTTCCAGCTCTGCCACTGATTTGCTGTGACTGATCACTTTGCTCACGTGTCCTGACGGCCTGTCTCTGGTCTTTCACAGTCCATCTACCCCAGGTTGAAGTCTCCTAAAAGATCAGACAGCAGCAGGCTGGGGTGTGATGCACTCCATGCTTTTACTCTGTCATTTGTTACCTTGACCTTTTGGGGTTCTTGAAATGTTCTTTTACTGCACTCTAATGATTTCCACATGATTTTGTTAGTCTTTTTTGGGCACCGTTTGGAAAGTCTGCATGTTATCTTGCCTTAAATGTCTATTAGGAGACTGACTATACATGGGAAATTTTCCTACACTTCCCTAGCCTTGGGCAAACCACAGAGTTTGTGTTTGGGTTTGTTTGGTTTTTTTTGTGCAATGATCTTTATAATTTGGCAATGCTTCTCACGCTGTTATGCAAGTGTATCAGCTCTGCGCTAACAGAACAATTGGCAAATAGTGACAAAATGTTATGGTAGTTAGTACAGAAAATACTTCCCATGCATTGTGGGAGGCTTACCCTGGATGCCAATTTGCTGTAGATTAGTGAAGCCTGAATTCATAAGCAAATTCACAGAGACCAGTGAGAATGAATTGGACAATATCTGCTTGTACTGCTCGGGACTGACCAAAAGTTGTTTGTGATCCGAGGTAGACCAGTGTCCACAAAGACCCTGCATAAGCTGACCAGAGAAACAGAGCTGGCGTTTGTCTAGCAAATTGGGTTTAAACACACTGTGGCTAGAAAGGTGATAGATAGCACAGTTCTTTTGAATAGTGTAGGCACAGCCAAAAGGCCTCCACTCGGCTTGTCAGGCTGTGTAAGGTTGCTTGTAAGTGAACCTTTGAATTTACAGTACTTTTGTCCTTCTTCAGCCACTCAATCCAAACCCAGACAGCCGATGGAATACTTACTTCAAGGACAATGAAGTCCTGCTGCAGATAGACAAGGATGTCAGGTATGTGGATAGGGTCTCTAGTAAAATGCCCAATTCAGTTGCATTATTGCTGTCCCTCTTCCCCACACCCAGTGCCTGCCACTTCCTGAGTAACCAGTATTTCATGTTACCAGAGCCCTTCTGTTTCACATCATGTACACACTCCTCTCCTAAAGCCCCTCTTTGAAATATGGCTTTCACCTATTCCCACTGTAGGAGGCTATACCCAGATATGGCATTCTTCCAGCGCCCAACTGAGTATCCTTGCCTGCTAATCCTGGACCCCCAGAATGACTTTGAGACGCTACGCAAGCGGGTGGAACAGACAACGCTCAAGTCGCAGACAGTAGCACGAAACCGGAGTGGTGTTACAAATGTATGACTTGGCACTGAGCTTCTCCTACACTCCCTAGGATGGGGACCAGGCAGGTTAGGGAAGTACCACTTCCAAGGTGCCCTTGCCAAGTTGCCTGCCAGGCTGGCTTATTTAAGAGACTGAGTTTTTTCCTTTCTTCACTTCCACCTGTGGTGGGGGCTCCTGTGAACTTGGAGTGTGGTGCTTTCTTCCTTTCTCCAGGGGGACAGGCTTTTCTGAAGGGCAGTTTGGATGTAATCTAACAGGCTTGAATCTCCAGCTGCATAAAAAGTTAGGATCATAATATGTTGTGGGCAGAGTAGCAAACAATTGATGATCCTCTGTAACCAGTGGCAGATGTCAAGCTCAAAGCATATGTGATTTGATCACTTCATTCTGCTTCCTCAGTGATTCAAGGTAACAGGTTGGTGCCTTCCTCCTACCTGGGGTGTGGTCTGCAATTTGAATCAGGATAGCTGTCTGTCTTGTGAGCCAGTGCATCAGTCCTAGTGAGAGCTTTCTGGCCTGGTTTCCTTTGTTCTGTGGACAAGTCTTCAGTGCATCATGCAAGTGGGCTGGATTTAAGCATTAATGGCTGCCTCCTGATCACATTGTTTAATTGGCTAAGGAGCATCTGGGAGCTGAGCACCTGAAGTCAATGCTGGCTCCACATAAAGCATTTTGTCCATTCAAACTGTGTGTCCAGAATGTCTTTTTTTTTTTTTTCTTGCCCTTCAGGTGAGTTCCCCTCTCAAACCATCTGCTCCTCATTCATTGAGTGAGTATGAAGTTCTGCCTAATGGTTGTGAAGCTCACTGGGAGGTGGTAGAACGGATCCTATTCATCTATGCAAAGCTGAATCCAGGGATAGCATATGTCCAGGGGATGAATGAAATAGTGGGGCCTCTTTACTACACCTTTGCTACGGATCCTAACAGTGAGTGGAAAGGTAAGACTGTACTTGAGTGACCTGTGCCACTTCATTAAGGAATGGTTAAGAAGAAGCTGATGTAGACTCCAATGGCTCCCAGCTTTTTCCTAGCAAATGGCCTCTTTCAAAAGGGGGGATGGCTTGAAAGGATCCTTCAGGATATAGGCACTCTTCAGTACGGTTCTGTGATGGTTTTGGAAATCAGTCTTTAAACGTTTTGACTTCCATGAAGTCTGTACCATCATGCCTCAAAGTAGAGCAAATGGCCAATTTGCTGATGAATTTCACATTCTGCAGCCTGTCTCGAATTATTATAAGAATGCTGCAGCTGTGAATAAATGTGATTTATGGGTCATGGGGAAACTTACTGCTCAGGAGCAAATGTCAGCAACAGAACCTGATGTAGTTGTTCTGTCTGCCCCTGGCCTGGTGTAAAGTGGAGCTAAGCCACCATGACTTTTTAAAAATCTGAATGGTGCTTGTTTCAAGTTGTCTGCTCCTGTACAACAGTAGAATAGTTGTGCCAGTGCTTCATGTCTTGCCTTCCAGATGAGAATCAGTTTACTGTATGTCTAAAAGCCGAGGGCCAGAGCAACTGTATAAATTCAGCCTAACTTCATAAGCCAAGAGCCTGTGGGACCCACCTACTATTTGCATCTAGTACAGAAGAAGGAGAGATCATCAGGGTTGCACTAACTTCCTTGCATGCCTTTGCTCCTTCCTCCATTCTTAGGTTTCTCTCTTCTTTTTCCTTTTTCCAGAGCATGCTGAAGCAGACACGTTTTTCTGCTTCACCAATCTGATGGCTGAGATCCGGGACAACTTCATTAAGAGCCTGGATGATTCTCAGTGTGGCATTACGTACAAAATGGAGAAGGTCTACTCCACCCTGAAGGAGAAGGATGTAGAACTGTACCTTAAACTGGTGAGGACTTGGACATTTGTGTCTCTTGCTTGGAATGTGGAGTGAGGTGGTGGGTCTTCAGGCTGCTTCCAGACAGAGCTTGCTGGCTGATTTTGAAATTGTAACAGTGTTTTAAGTAAAGAAAAGCTTAATAAAAAGCTTCAATAAAATGTAAAGCCAAGGGCGTGTGTCCCCAGGGATAGCCTGCCTTGAGTCCAATATGGAGACCTACAGATGATGATGTGGTCTTGCTTCATCGAATCAAAAACATCCCCTGGGTGTTGGTTTTTGTTGTCTGGTGTCCTAATAGCACTGGCTTTTTATACAATACATTGGCCGTGGTGATTTGGAAATAGTGCCAGCCTGAGCATGTAATAATGGTGTCACAGGAAGACAACCTTTGAGGATCTCGGTGCCTGACAAACATTTTGCAATATTCTGTGAGGTGATAAAAGGTTGCAGATCCTCTGGAATGCAGGATCTGCCTCATACTGCTGTGTAACATTAGACTTAAGTTGCAAAATGAAGAATATTACTTGCGAATTATTCTGCAGGCAGAACTTCCCTCTGAAATTATCCCTGCAGCTTCTAGTGCAAACTTGACAAGACAGACCTTGTATTCTAGTGTGTCTTTCTGTAACTCTTAAACCAAGAGTGACCTTAATGTGGCTTCCAAGTGGTCAGGATCTATCTTGTATAACTCTTTAAAAGATGGCATCTGTCAGACCAGTGACATAGCCAGAGACATTGAATTCTGACTTGGTGGGAAGGTGACCTACCTAGAAAGTGGTGTGGTCAGTCAGCAGCTGTTCAGCATTCAGATAAGCCTTCCAAGGAAGTGTCCTGATTCTCCTTTTAACTTGTGAAATCTGCACCACAGTAAGAAGTGTCACAGCTGCGGGCACGAGCTTTGAGTGGTGCTATTGCTTGGCACTAATCAACGTGGAACTCTGCCCTGTTTTATTTCTTTAGGAGTAGGTTCTGATGACTAAGGGATTTTTTTTAACTAGGGGATTGTGGAAAGGAGAAGAAATACTGTTGATTCAACTGACAGGGAAACCCATGACTTCCTGTGAACAGCCCCTTTCAAAGGGGAAATAAAGCTGAATGTACTTAAGTGTTTGGATTGCATTTCAGGAAAATAAAATTTCCTTCATATTGTGTGTGGAAAGCTGGAGGTAATTCTTCTGCTTTGGCCATAGACACCGAGGATAGAGGCATGCCAGGGGACTTGTCATTGTGCTCCAAGAACTTGAGTGGTGGGGCTGAGAAGCCTTTTGAAAGAACACATGACTGATATCACAGGACAAGGCTAAGAGCCTTTGAACCAGAGATGAGTAACTATGAAGTACAGGCTACTTTTTGTCCATATCACTCCAGCAGAAAGTTAGTTCTATGAAGTGGAGGCCAGGGAGGCAGGAAACGAGGGTGTCCCTTGCTTGTAGTAAACTGGATGAGGAATGTTGATTCTGCCTCATGTCTGTCCAACAGCAAGAACAGAACATCAAGCCTCAGTTCTTTGCCTTCCGCTGGCTGACACTGCTGCTGTCCCAGGAGTTCCTGTTGCCTGATGTCATCCGTATATGGGACTCTCTCTTTGCTGATGACAACCGCTTTGACTTTCTTCTGCTTGTTTGTTGCGCCATGTTGACGTGAGTGCTGTAAAACCCTGGGGGGCTGTCTTTAGTGCCCAACAATTCACACCCTCTCCCCTGAAACGCGCTCTTTCCTATGTTGGGCAATGTTGACATGGCTTGTGCTCCTTGATTTCCCATCTCCCTGCCTGAATCCAAAGATCTAGGGGTCTCGCTTGCACGGATGTATGAGCAGGGTGCTGAGAAGGATTGTAATCATTTTTAACACTGTATTTCTCATCAACATGGACTTTGGGTGGTGGTGTGGTGGACTGTCAGCACCTTTTATAGGTAACTTCAGGGGTAACGCTGGACGTAGTTCTAAGGAGTCAGAAGCATTTGGATTAATGTGCCCTCTCTTTCAGACTAATCCGGGATCAACTGCTGGAAGGGGACTTCACTTTAAACATGAGGCTGCTACAGGCAAAGATTAAATAC